CTTAAACCCAATAGAGCACGCGTGGGATGCTCTTAAGCTAGCTGATTGGAACCGGCAGCCACCACCCTAGACAGTGCCGCAGCTCAGGGAAGCTGCTGTTCAAGATTGGGACAGGTTACCACAAGAAATGCTGGATAACTTGATCTTCAGCATGCCCAGGAGGATCTTCACATATGTTCGAGCCAGAGGAGGAGTTATTTTGTATTAGATAAACAACAATTTATTAATAAAAGGTTTTTAAGTTTGGTGAAGCTACGTTTTTATTTCTATCAAAGTTCTAATACAATCGCCGTAGGATTGAATTATTTTTTTTATACTAAAAATAAAATTAGTTTTATTTTTTAATTTCAGAAATTGTATTTTTATATAAAAAAAGGTACAACGTAAACATATTCTGTTGATTAAGTTAAATTTTGAAAATATATCAGCTTTTGCAAGTGATCTCAAACTTTTTTGATGTGTGTATACAGATAACATTAACACATTTGTTCATATTATCACGTTTTGTCGTGGCAGTAACGTTCAATGTCAATCTATCTTTATATATATAATTCTTCTGTGAGTGTGTATGTCACTGAACTTCTCTTAAACGACTGGACCGATTTTGATGAAATTTTTTGTGTGTGTTCAAGGGGATCTGAGAATGGTTTAGATTCACAATTTTGTCCGCTGGACAATGTTTTTTTAATTAATTTTTTTTATGGCGGTACGAAGTTCGCTGGGTCAGCTAGTATATATATAAAACTCAATGGTGACTGACTGACTGACATAGTGATCTATCAACGCACAGCCCAAACCTCAGGACGGATCGGGCTGAAATTTGGCATGCAGGTAGATGTTATGACGTAGGCATCCGCTAAGAAAGGATTTTGATCAATTCTACCCCCAAGGGGATAAAATAGGGAATGAAAGTTTGTATGAAACTTTGTCAATTTTAAACCGATCGGGCTGAGACTTTGCATGCAGGTATAATACCTCGTTTACATGCAGCACGAGTAAGGAGGGAAGTGGGCATGACGAGTATGTAAACACGATACTCGTCATGCCACTGCCATTGCCACTCGCGCTGCCCGGCGCTCCCCAAAAGAGCGGTTTTTGGTGCGGAAGTCAAAGGACCGGGCAGCGCGAGTGGCAATGCGTGTTCACACTCTGCTCGTCGCCTGAGAAAATTGAGAATTGAGATTGAAATTTGAGTTCACCCGAACGAACAAACATACATTACATGCATTGCAAGTTATATAAAAGCTTATAAAAAACAGTTATATGGGTTGGTAGCTACTTACAAAGTTCTATTACGATGGATAGATAACATCCACCATCTTCTACGACGAACTTTCTTTTTTTGTACTTGATATACACTTCTGGACACATCTATTGGCCCACCTTGTATTTTCAGTTTCGTTTGGTCCTAGCTAAAATTTTATATTAGGTCGAGCAAAAAGTTTTTATGCAGTTTTGAACCTGGCACATTCACAATTTAATTCAATAGTCTTTTTTTGAATTTCGAACACAGAATTTAAAGAAACAAAAGACAATTTGGAGCCTGTTTGTTGATATCAAACAATCGAATAATAAGAAAACTTGGTTTTATTGGTTTACTTGGATTTAATTATTGAAAAAGTGATTGAAATCTTTGGTTTTGCAACAAACATTACTTATTCTTAACATTAAGGTGAGGTTCTATCAATAATCTATGGATACTTCACCTGAAGTCGCCGCCCAAGCTGTGGCACTTATTCAGGCCGGACACAGCCAAAGAAACGTGAGTGCTCAACTTAATTTAAGTCGATCTGCGGTCCGAAATGTTTATCGGAGGTGCCTAGAGACTGGCGGCTTTGTTCGTCGCCAAGGAAGGCCACGATCTCGGGTCACAACTGAAAGGCAGGATCGATTCATCGTGACGACCAGCTTGAGAAATCGTCACCTTACCTCCATTTAGTATCTGTGAGCGCTCGAACTGTTCGGAGAAGGTTAAAAGAACGCGATATGGTACCACACAAGCCAGCTAATGGGCCCAAACTAACGCGAGCCCACCGAACAGCGCGCCTTCACTTCGCACGCAGTCATTTAAATTGGACACAGCAAGATTGGAGCCGTGTACTCTTTTCTGATGAGTCTAAAATTGTGTTACATGGCAATGATGGAAGGAAGAAGGTCTACCGACGTAAGGGAGAGCGTTTCGCACAATGCTGCTTTGAAGAGAGGGTTGCTTATGGCGGTCGCTCATGGACTGTCTGGGGCGGTATATCCGCGAGCGGCAAAATTCAACTTGAGGTTGTTACAGGACCACGGCTGCCAACATTGCTGAAAGGTACATTCGTGAGTGCTTAGAACCTCACGTGATACCATACGCGGACTATGTGGGTCCAAATTTCCTTTTTATGCATGATAATGCAAGAGCCCATGCGGCCGGCATCGTCAGGGAATATCTTCGGGATGTGAACATCACAGTTATGGACTGGCCAGCCAGAAGCCCAGACATGAACCCCATTGAGCACATGTGGGACGAGCTAAAAAGACGTGTTAGGGCTCGTCAGCCAGTTGCCCAGACGATGCAGGAGTTGAAAACTGCCATAGAAGAGGAATGGGAGATGATCCCTCAAAATTTCATAGAGCGGTTGATTAACTCTATGCCTAATCGTATGAGAGCTGTGGTAGATGCCCATAGCCCAACACGCGTTATTAAATTAAACCTTTATTTGATAAAACATGTTTTTTATTCAAAAATCAATTGCCTTTAACAAGGCGCATATCCGACTTGTTAGGCGTAGCTCCATGTCGTTTGGTATTCTGAATTCAAATTTAAAACAATACGATCGAAGAAGATGGTAAAATGTTTAAAACTGCATCAACAGTTTTTGTTCAATCTAACAATCATATTTCGGTAGGGGCCATCGAAACCTAAACTCTAAGGTGGGCCAATAGATGTGTCCAGAAGTGTATTTTTAAATTTCAAACATAATTATGGATTGCAAAAAGACACAGCGCGGCCACTGTAATTACTTCGACGTCTGCCATTGCCGAAACTCTGAAGCGAAGTGAGAGGTAGGGCAGTATGTAAACACATACTTCTCTCAATCATGCCGCAGCAATATTTAGGGAATTATTGCCGACAACGCGAGGGGCAGCGGCATGAGCATAGTCTAAACGAGGTATAAGAAGAATCATAGATAAATGTTATTGTGTATAATACAAGCCTGAGAACAAAAACTGTAGTCTACACCGAAGCGAAGCGTGGGCGGGCCGCTAGTTATTGTATACGAACGCGAATTTTCAGCACGACTGTATAAAATTACGCACGATAAACGAATGTGCGTAATTTTGCTTCCGACACTTTTGAGCGCGATTGTGAGGCTACTTGTTTTTATACGTCATTGGCGTGTCCTATCGATTCGTAAATCTACCTACTACTATTCACAGAGCAGAAAGAGAAAGAAAGAAAATTAGCAATCTAAAAAAATACTATAAAAATATCCACGTACTCCATCGATTCGGTGCAGGTTCGGATACCTTAAAATTTAGTCTTCTTCTAAAATTAATTCTTTAGTTTTATAAATCAGGATAAAGATATTATTTGTACACCTGCTCTATGTTGGTGGTAAAGCGAAGTAATTAAGTGGTTCTACAGACAGGTTAAGTTACCCAAAACTGTCAATTTAATCCAAAATACAAGCAATCTTAAGCTTTAGATTGCTTTGCAGACGATTCACAATCTGTTCAAAATGAAATCACCTGGTGTTCTATGTTTACAAGATGAAATAGCTTTCTGGTTGTCCCATAGATAATTTTTAATAGTGGGGATTTTAAAACTGAGGAGCTGGCAAACAAAACGGTATAATTACGCATCTGGTCAAACTACTTTTTACAGTCTGGAGGTTTCGGGACCGTTGAATTTGAATCTCAAATAATTTTCAATCGAAACCACCTTAAACAGTGTTAAAACTACCAAAGGACATTGGGCAAAAATTTATGGACGCTGCACCCACGTCCGCCACGGTTTAAACTACATTTGTTTGAAAGGTATTATAGTCGAGATCATCTGTGCCAAAGCGCATCAAATTCCATACCGGGGGTCTTTAGTTATTTTAAGTTAAATATGTACAAGTACTATAACGAACGAACATTAATGAAGCAAGGGAATTAATTTAGTTAGTTACTTCGACCCTACATAGGGTGCTCAGGAATTATGGGAGTACTTCTCAAGATGCAAGGGTGCCCCCTTATGTTATTCTGCCGCGCTAGAGTCAATCCAAAAATCCCCGCTTGGGTAGTTTTTTTTAAACATTCTGTTCGTTATAGTAAATTGTCTTCTATGTAAAACAGAGCGACCACAGATTACACTTGTCCACGCTTCGGAGAACACATGATTCCAGTTCATCTATACTAATTGACAAAACCAATAATCGTGTTTCAATATCCAAAGCGTGTTAGACAAAAATCAAACAAGTAGCAGGGAGCGCACAATTACAACGAAGTAACACGAGTCGACTATTTGCAACTGCAAGTCCTTCATCATCCGCAAACCGTTTTGAAATGTCTCAGTAAGAGCAAGCGCAGGATGGTCGACAGGCTTTGTCGTATATCTGGTTGTATAGTACGATATGGCGTATTATTATGATTACTAATAATATAAAATGAAGGTATTATTATAAAATTAATTTATTCAGCTACTTAAATATGCCCATGTGTCATATCTATTGACAACCAGGATATTTTTTACGGTGTCATATCTTTTGACTCCCAGGATATTTATTTTCGGTGTCATAATAAAAAAGGCTAGTTTTTCATAGATCTATCGATTCATACTAATTACATTGTTGGCGGAGCTGGGTGCGTTTTGCCCATTGTCCTTTGTAAATTAAAAACCATGCCAAAACCTCACTGCAGGTATGTCTTTCAGTTTTATACAACTCCTGTAAAATTTATTTTTATGTAATTATACCGTTTTGTTCACCAGATCCTCAACTATAATGGATTATATCTACAACCGACATACATACCTTTCAGCAAAGCCATCTCTTCAGCAGACAATTCAGGTAGCCTAGACTTGGAAAAGCCTTTCTCTTTGCTTTTCTTTGCTATAGTGTCCCTTACAACCTTGGGAAATCCACCTTCCGCTGACCATATAGGATCCATATACAAACCTATCTAGGATTCATAAAACCAGTAAATATTAAAGTAACTTGACTGAATACATAATGAATATCACAGCTGTGTCCTAACACAGCACCCCCTCTAGCTTTCACGTAGTAATTCATAACAAATGATTTTGGCTTATGTTTGGCTTTATTAACATGGCGCTTTGCTGTGATGCTAGGAGTGCATGCATAAGTATAATTACAAGTAAAGAAATATTAATAATGTAATGTAATGTGCAGGTTAGCTATCTCTACGGAAACTAGGTGCATTCTTTTTTTAATCATCTTCAGCTTCAAGCTTCAGCTTCAAAAGTTGTTTAACTTCCACAATCACAGACTACACATATATCTGATAAAAGAAATAAATGATGATGATAATGAATTACTTACAGTGAACGCTCTGTAATCATCGGTCGCTTTTACATTTTCGGTTTTATTATTGACCGGTTCAGCCCAATTCATTGATAAAGCGATACCAACCAGACCTGAACAAAAAAAACAATTATGACTATTTCGTCCCTTAACTTTTGCCTTAGATTTGAGCTTTCTGTATAATTATCAAAAATTTTTTGAAAGAAAAAAACCTGTACTAAGCAACTGCTGCTGGTCCATCCGTCTGCTAGTCAGCAGCAGGACGTATCTCATGAACTTTAATAAGTTTAATAGTTGAGAATTTTTCAGAATGTGTAGATATTTCGTCGGCCACCATTACAATCCTACTAATTTTATAAATGTGAAAGTTTGTATGTTTACTACACAATCTCACAAAAAACGGCTAAACGAATTTGGTGAAATTTGGCACGCATATAGTTTATTCACATGGATACTTTTTATACAGAAGAAATATTAGGTTCCTAAGGGATTCTCAAAAAGTTAAGGTGACCACTAGTACAGAATAAAAATTACGTCGCTGTTTCCCCCCCAACCTTAACTGCAGTCAAGTAATAATTTATTTTAAAGACATATAAGTACTAGTGATGTAACGAATGTAATTTTTTGAACATTCGCGAACGCGAATGCCGATGCGAATGCGAATATTTAGTTTTTTTTTAAATTGGCGCCAATTGTCTATGGTATGGTGGCAGTCTCGTTCGAATTGCCGAGTTGATATGAACTCATCCGACTGAACAGTCATTCCGCTCGCACCGGTCTTTCCGTAAACAAAACAAGTGAATTTTGAGGTTAGTGATTGTGAGTGGTAATAATAATAATAAATATTCTTTATTGCACACAACAAAGGACACAAGACATAAACAAATAAAACAGAAGAAAGAGTACAATAGGCGGCCTTATTCCTAAACAGCAATCTCTTCCAGGCAACTTATGGTAGAAGAGGAATAATAATAAATATAGAAGGGTGCAAAAGAAAAAATACAGGAGATAATCCTTACATAAATATTCAATAGAAGCAAAGAAATGGGATGCTAAATGGATTTAAGAAACGGAAAGGAAATAGCTTTGAACTTGATCGCTAAAGGAATTAAGTGAACGAGCCTTTCTGATTCCTTCAGGGAGAGAATAGGGAAGATGCAATATTTTTATTTTTGTTTTCATTTAAAGTATTCCATGTAGAATAAACCACAGATATATCAAAAAATTAAAACATTGATTTTTATCGGAAAAAATGCGGTTTTAAATTGACAATAGGCTAGTTGACCCTTTTTGGAAAAAGGTTTTAAATGGTTAATAAATGTTCTATTAGACCGAAAAAAAATGTATTGTATTTTTTTTAAACCTAGAAAGCTACAAATCTTTAATTTTAAAATAGACTTTTCATGGACATACAAAAACGCTGTCGGCCATTTTAGTCTATAGATTGTCTATGCTATGACGTGAACTGTGGTAAACAAAAACTCGTAAACACGTAGAAAATTACTTTTAACTGAGTTTATAATAAAAAAAACATGATTTCTAATAAATACCACGAAAAATAAAGTAATTATCATTACTGTATTGTACGAGAATATAAAAACACATCCTTGAAGACTCCAGGAAAGTTGTGGATTAAAGTGCGGAAAGAAATTAACCTACGCAACTTTATTACACTTATTCATATGTTGTATCAGTTTTATGTTTATTACTACATTGTAATACTAAATGCACTGTACTTACATAGATGCCTTGTCGTTTCTCTGCTCCGCAGAGCAGAAATCAGAGTTTAGTGCAACAAATTCACCAACCATCAATGCGTCAATTCTTGGCAGATTTGTGCTTTCTGCTTTCACAAAGCCGGCATCCATAATTTGTTTAGTCAAAAAAAACTAAGTTTACTGTTTTTTTCTTTCCTAAAGTTAAAAGTGTTTTAAGATAAATTTAGTCAGACGAAAGAATCCACCTACAGTAACACGCGAATGACATTTAGTTGTTTACCACAAGAGACGTCAAAATCATGGCGAATGTGGCGAACAGCGTTTTTAGTGTTTAAAAAATATAGACTAAGAAAAAATTTTCTAAAATTAAATTTCTACAGCAATCTTCTGCTTTTATGAAGTGAAATCGATATATTAAGGTTCCTTAGACTAAACACTTTAAGAAATAAACATTTATTTAATACAATTCGACATGAGTAAACTAGCCTATTTAAATTTTCGCGCGAAAACGAACCTATGGTTGCGATGACGTCACTCCTGTCTGTCACTGGTCGTAATTGTTCGTTGCTGGCTTTAAATTTTCATACTTTTGCATATTTTTTCGACTTTCGAAATATTTTTTTGAAAAATTTAAAATGGACTATCCATCAACATCATGTGATCATAACAATACCACTAATATTCCGAAAAAAAGCCGTTGACTCATGTTTTGTGCCAATCTACTTCAACAAAGTTCCCAAATGAATTGTTTTTGACTGGAAATTCTGACCCAAAACTGAAAAAAGTGGTTTCAAGCTGCGAAGAGAAATGACAATTATTCTCCAAAGACCATTATTCGATGCTGAGAAGATCACTTTGACGTAAGTCGGCGAATATACTTGTTATATGCTTAATTAATCTGCTTGTACGTAAAAACGCATTAGTAACCTACCTAATACTTACAAAACCTGTCTATAATATATTTTTAATTTTACAGTTGGAGAATGACGTCGAAAATTAGATAAAGTTTAAAATGTGTGGCACAATCTTCACATTGGCAGGACTGAAGCAAGCTTTGCGTTTCATTTAAAATAACTGTAACACGATAACCTTCTTTACGTACTTTATGCTCCGGAGAACTCGACCTTTTACTGTACATAATTTTCCATCACTTTTAATTTGGACATAGCTGATTGCATTATCGCCATAAGATTTGTAGAAGCCGCTGAATAAAATACGAAGTTTAACAACTACGATTCTTACATACCGTAGTAATTTAGTCCCTTTCATTTCTACACTTAAAAACTCTGCACTTTGGACAAAAAAAGTTATAACCATGTCAACGCTAACTCTTGGTAAATTCCTGGAGTTTGCTTTGGTAAACGCAACTTCCATTTTTATTAAATGTAAAAAACGCAATAAATATTCCCATAAAATAATATTTACTTTAACAACCATAACCTCAAAGAAGTTGTCATAACAGGAGTGACGTCACTAAACGCTGATTGGTGTTTTAAAATACGTCCCGTTTCAAGTATTTTTAATTCGTAATAATTGTTAAAAAACAACATTATGTAAAATAAAAACGTTGCAGTGGCATTTCTTTTATATTTTTTTAACATTTGAATCATAAAATTTTCATAAATATTATATATGCATCTTCCCTATTCCACAGCCGAGCGGCGTGCAAAGAAAAGGAATAAGAAAAGAAGTCAGAAGAGTGAGGGAATTTCAAGAGAAGGTTAGAAGAGGATCGCAACGAGAGCTGAGAAGAAGAGGATAGAAAAGAGAAACACTGCTTAAGATAAGGCGGAGAAGATGGCAGGAAAAGTATAGAATAGAGGACCGTGAGAGTGTGTAAATCCCTGCGCCGGCGAATAGGGAGCTAATAGGGAAGATGCAAATATAATATTTATGAAAATTTTATGATTAAAATATTAAAAAAATATAAAAGAAAGGCCACTGCAAAGTTTTTATTTTACATAATGTGGTTTTTTAACAATAATTACGAATTAAAAATGACTTGAAAAAAACGTATTTTAAAACACCAATCAGCGTTTAGTGACGTCACTCCTGTTATGACAACTTATTTGAGATTATGGTTATAAAAGTGAATATTATTTTATGGGAATATTAATTGCGTTTTTTTAATAAAAATGGAAGTTGGGTTTATCAAAGCAGACTCCAGGAAATTACCAAGAGTTAGTGTTGACATGGTTGTAACATTTTTTGTCCAATGTGCAGTTTTCAAGTGTAAAAATGAAAGGGACTAAATTACTACGGTAGGTATAAATCATAGTTGTTAAACTTTGTATTTTATTCAGCGACTTCTACACATAGCAGTTATTTCAGCTCATCAAGAGAATCTTACGGCGTAAACGCAATCGGCTATGTCCAAATTAAAAGAGATGGAGAATTATGTACAGTAAAAAGTCGAGTTACTCCGGAGCATAAAGTACGTAGAGAAAGTTATCGTGTTACAGTTATTTTAAATGAAACTCAAAGCTTGGTTCAGTCTTGCCAATGTGAAGATTGTACCACACATTTTAAACTTTATCCAATTTTTGACGTCGTTCTCCAACTGTAAAATTAAAAATATGTTATAGACAGGTTTTGTAAGTATTAGGTAGGTTACTAACGCGTTTTTACGTACAAGCAGACTAATTAAGCATATAACAAATATATTCGCCGACTAACGTCAAAGTGATCTTCACAGCGTCGAATAATGAATGGTCTTTGGAGAATAATTGTCATTTCTCTTCGCAGCTTGAAACCACTTTTTTCTCAATTTTGGGTCAATTAAATTAATTCAATCAAAAGTCAAAAACAATTTATTTGGATACATTATTGAAGTAGATGGACACATTGGCACAAAACATGAGTCAACACGGCTTGTTTTCTGAATATTAGTGGTATTGTTATGATCACCTGATGTTGATGGATAGTCCATTTTAAATTTTTACAATAAAATATCTCGAAAGTCGAAAAAGTATGAAAATTGAAAGCCAGCGACGAACAAGAACGACCAGTGACAGACAGGAGTGACGTCATCGGAACCATAGGTCCGTTTTCGCGCGAAAATTTAAACTGTCAATTTAAAACCGCATTTTTTCCAGTAAATTACAATGTTTTAATTTTTTAATATATCTGTGGTTTATTCTACATGGAATTCTTTATAATGAAAACAAAATAAAAATATTGCATCTTCCCTATTGAGTTTACTACAGAAGTGAGACACGTGGTCGAATTTTCGGAGATTATAAATGAACCTGATACAAACTTTTTGCAGTCGCTCTAATTTATTGAGAAGTTCCTCCGACAGATCAGTGTAGCAAACATTAGCGTAGTCGATGATAGACAGCAAGAGAGAATTTGCCAAGTTGATTTTGATACTGATCGGCAAAAAGTTACGCAAGCGACTAAGGGATCCATACGCAGCAAACACCTTTTTTCTGACTGCCTCCACATGCGGTTTCCAGGAGAAACTCCGATCAAAGACAACACCCAGGTTTCCGACGGTTTCTGAGTAGGGAATAATAGAACCGTTAAAAATAATAGTAGGCAATTGATCAAAGTTGATCCTAGAAATAAAATAAGGACTACCAATAATGATCGATTTAGTCTTTTCAGGATTTGAAGTTAGACCAAATGACGCACTTCAACTACTTACAAGCGACAAATTTGCGTTGATAATCGAAATTGCGTTAGAGAGGTCAGATAAAGGGGCCTGAGTGTGTATTTGGAGGTCATCAGCATAAAGGGGATATGAACATGAAAGCGACATTGTGATAGAATTTATAAAGATAGAAAATAGGAGAGGAGATAAGACGCCACCCTGAGGAACACCGGCAATGATATCACACCAAGAAGACAAGGTGTCATCAATACGGATACGCTGCCGGCGGCCTAGCAGGTAATTTCGAAACCACTCAATTGCGGATGGAGATATGCTAAGTGAACCTAAAATGCCTAGAAGGATGTCAAAGTCGACTGAGTTGAAGGCGTTGCTAAAATCAAGCAGCGTCAACAACGTAAGTTGCCGATTGTCCATTCCTCTGCGGATGTCGTCCGAAATTTTAATCAATGCGGTAGTAGTGCTGTGGCCGCTACGAAAGCCAGACTGAAAAGCCAGACCTTAGATAAAAATGGGAGAATGGATATGGGACGGTATTCCGAAAAAGAGGCAGGATTGGATTTTTTGGGGAGAGGAATGACATTGGCTTCTTTCCAAGGAGAAGGGAAAACTCCAGTAGAGACTGAAGTATTAAGAATAGTTGTGATCACAGGAATCAGGATATCTAAAATAGGAAGGATCATTTTGCGGTTGATTGAATCACTGCCTACCGCACTGGAGTTAATGGACAAGATAGTTCTCTTAACATCACATTCCGCAAATTGATGTATGACAAAGGGAGGATCAAGAGTTGGCAGACTAGAAAGATGACGTAAGGTTAATCGCTTACGGTTCTCATCCATGGAGATAGTAGAGGAAAAGTAAGTATTAAGTTGATCGACATTGAGATTGTTACAGGAATTGGACCTACGTGACTTGCCAACTCCCATTGATCTCAGGAATCTCCAAATCTTCCCGGGGTCTTCATTTTCCACTGAATTGTGAATGTGGCGTCTTTGTGCGTCCCTAACTACGGTGTTGCACCGGTTTCTAGAACGATTGTATTTTGCCTCATTATTATTTGAGGGATCAAGTTTAAACTTTTTTTTTATTCATCAACCGTCGGATCTCCTCAGTAATAATAGTGATTTATTAACATGAGTAAATCGAATTCTAGTGAAACATGGACTTATTTCACACTTTACGATGCTGAACGAGCTAAATGCAAACTGTGTTACAATGAATATTCAAGGAAAGGCAGAACTACAACTTCTTCAAATTATTTTTTTCTAATATTCATATTCGCAAAACATTCACAGAGATTTTGCGAATGCGAATGTGAATGCGAATATTCAAAAATATGCGAATATTCGTGACATCACTAAAGTACCTAATCCTTTATGGGCAGTGGCGGCGGTTTACAAGTTACCTATTTTTTTTTTCGTGTCTGTTGGCCTGGCTTAGGTAGCCGACCCCGAACAATTCGGGGAAAAAGCTAAGCAGATGATAATGACTTTTATTATTTTCGAACACGTGCGTGATAGAAGCGAGTAGTACTTTACAGGTATTCAGAATCGTCTGTCTGGCAACACTATTTTTGTAATAAAATTTCTATGTTTGCAATTATTTTTTGTCATCATTTGATTATCTATTCTATACTTATAATAAATCTGTAGAGAGGTCAATTCTGTACATGAAATATATTTTCAAAATAACTATCAGGGGGTGATAAGTGATCGATACTGATGCCAAAAATGCAATCAGTAAAATTTTTGTCTGTCTGTCTGTCTGTCTGTCTGTCTGTGTGTATGTTCCTTATAGAAACAAAAACTACTCGACGGATTTTAACGAAACTTGGTACAATTATTCTTCATACTCCTGGGCAGGTTATAGTATACTTTTCATCACGCTACAATCAATAGGAGCAGAGTAGTGAAGGGAAATGTTGGGAAAACGGGAGAAGTTACTCCATTTTTAAGCTTCCGTCGCGTGTGGAGCCTTAATGGTTAAAGTTACATAGAAATCATGTATGACGGAAATATTCTACATAAAATTGTCTAAAAAATATCCCGCAACAGCATATGTCTATCTTTTATGGTTGACTCACAATAACACGTGTAACTCCTGATAGCTTAGCAGTTCGGAGCATTCTGATTATATTTGTTTACTCTTACGTTTATAATACTCTCACTCATCCCTAATTTAAAAAAGTTAACATTATTACCTATTCAATAAAAAAAGAATCATAGAAATCGGTATAGAAACACCAAACTTATACATGAAATAAGCCATCGCGCCGTCGCACGTGAATACTGAATCATGCTTTAAGGATTATTTTTGTGTAACGGCTGCCGCGCTCGACACGGGTCGTGGCGGCGCGGTAGGGTATAAAAAGGCGGGAGGTCCGAAAGCGAGCTTCCCCGCCCCCCCGATCCTGAGAGACCTTCAGTCGCTCAGTCCCAAACCGATACGGATGCACATCAGGGTGCATCCGTCCTCTAAGCGCACTATGCAGTAGTATTTACTAAGGCAGCGCTGCATCATCCCCTTCTCAGGGGTTGATCGCATCAGATGAAGCCTGTAAGGCCCCTAAGGCCATAGGCACCCCCCACGGGTGTGTTTTAGTCAGTAAGAGTCTGACATAACTCTACAGCCGGCTGTAGGGTATCCATGAGGATTTCACACCCGCTCCCCCGCCTGGGAGGAAACAAAAAAAAAAGAAAGCGAGCTTCATTCAATATTTGGCTGTTGATGCGTTCAGAGCGTTCGACCTTATTGACAGACAATAATTGATATTGAGAAACCGTGCTTATCTTAGAATAAAAACCAAACATTTGTAAACAAAATTAGCAAATAAATCATGTAAAACGTGTAGAAAATGAGTACTGGAAAACGGAAATATGAGAATTTTAGTTTGGTTATAAATACAGGTAATAAAAATGACCGTTATTATATATCTTTATATATATATAATTCTTCTGTGAGTGTGTATGTCACTGAACTTCTCTTAAACGACTGGACCGATTTTGATGAAATTTTTTGTGTGTGTTCAGTTCAGTGTGAGAATGGTTTAGATTCACAAAGACGTGTAGACAGGACAACGTCTGTCGGGTCCGCTAGTATATTTATATAAAAGTCAAAGGTGACTGACTGACATAGTGATTTATCAACACACAGCCCAAACTACTGGACGGATCGGGCTGAAATTTGGCATGCAGGTAGATGTTATGACGTAGGCATCCGCTAAGAAAGGATTTTGATCAATTCTACCCCCAAGGGGATAAAATAGGGAATGAAAGTTTGTATGAAACTTTGTCAATTTTAAACCGATCGGGCTGAGACTTTGCATGCAGGTATAAGAAGAATCATAGATGAATGTCATTGTGTATAATACAAGCCTGACAACAAAAACTGTAGTCTATACTTCAGCTCTACACCGAAGCGAAGCGAGGGCGGACCGCTAGTCAACAATAAAATCGTTTACTCATACGTTATTTTATAATGCCTCACGAACTTGTTTTCGCCGACGTCCACATGTAGTCTAGCGCCGCCACTGTTTATGGGATATTCTGAAGTTTTACATGAAACTGACAGGGAATCGAACCCAGCACATGCGGTGGCCACCCACACACAGGACTACAAAGATCATAACTTAAGATTAAACATGTTACCTTTATAATTATTTGCCTTGTAATTCTTCTCATACAGCCTATATGCCTTTGCATGTGCCAGCATAATATTCTTGACGCACAAATAATCAGCTATTCCCTTCATATTTATCCCTGGGGCCATTGAATGATCCCCATAACCATCCATACATATTTTGTTCGGTTGATTTATAGTAACCCAATACTTTACTTTGCTAGAATACCTCTCGAATAATATTGTTGCATATTCAACAAACCACTCGACTGAAAGTGGGTTGGCCCAACCGCCCAAGTCCTGCAGTCTTTTAGGTAAATCCATGTGATACATTGTGACTACGGGTTCTATGTTATATTTAATCAGTTCATATATCAAGTTGTCATAGTACTTCAGGCCTTTCTCATTCACTTTGTTGGATAATCCTGTAAATATTAATAATAAGATAATATTTTTTCTATATTTACTATTTATATACAAAACTGTAGTAGTAATAAATCTACATTACCAGAAACTAGAAGGTGCTAAGCAACATTGTTACTATATGTAAAAATCTTGCCGATTTACACTTCAAATTAAATATTACAAAATTAACAGTGTTTTGACTCTCTACCACAAAAAATATCTTTTCAACTTGTCATATATACTTAACAGATGGATTAGTAGATTAATACACTAGTTAATAGTAATTCAATGTATATTAAGTAAAGATACTAAATAAACATTTGAATAAACACATACCTGTAGGAAGTATCCTAGACCAAGCAATGGAAAACCTATAGTGATCAACGCCTAATTCCCTCAACATCTCTACATCTCTATGGTAAAAGTGGTATGAATCACTGGCCACGTCACCATTGGTGGCCCCCTCTATTACCTCTGGATGTTCATGTGTGAACCTGTCCCACATGCTTTCTCCTTTGTCTGATTAGGATATAAAAACAATATAATATAATATACCTATATAGGTCACAGTTTTAAGACTGTTCTCTAAGGACACAATTCATGCATAATGAATATTAAATAAGATTTATTATAAAGCTATTTGGATAAACTACTTAGTATATTGAAGAATAGGATGGGCACAAGATACTAATTAGTGACATTAAAAGGAAAAACTATTGATATTTATATAACAGTCCATTTAAAAGAATTATCATTATTATTCATTTAGAAGTCAAAAGTGGTGACTAAATGCAGAGACTTAAGTGGGACATCCATTTCAGTTTCTGCTTTCTGTCACCAATTCTGGCCGGAACAATCTTACATTTTTGTTAAGTAGCAGCTTAAGAAATAAGCACAGCTAGTTGGCTTGGCTTTCTAACTAGTAACCTAGTAACTCAATGGGAAGGAAAATCCCATTTCTTTTACTAGAAAACTACTAAGAGCAATAGGTGTGTTCAAAGTCATGTCCATAGCTAAAATTTTTCTTGAATTAATTTTATTACCATCTTCATTCCAAGCCCCTTCTACTTGATAGGCAGAGGTGCCAGCACCAAATAAAAAACCTTCTCGGAAACTGCGCTGCTTTGTATCTGTCCAGCCTTTAGCTGAAGACAGGAAACTGAAAGAAAACACGCATCCTTGTTTAAAATATATTGGTAAGAAAAGAACTGAGTAAGTAGCAAATGGTATTTGTTACCTACTTGATGAAACATGAAACATGAATAGAATTGACTAACCCTCAAACTAATAATTGAAAAAATTAAAAACAGTTTTGTACCAGAATAATTATTTTCTACTGGGAGCAATTTTTAATTAAAATACTTATAATTGGTAAAGATACATTTATACCGGTCAAATTTTTACAATTGACTTTTTGCTTTATATCTATCTTCGTAAGATTTATATTCCGTTGAGAGAATTTGACAGTTTGTAATAATGTGATAAGTGGCTCACTGTACATTAAACTTAACCTTAAATCACTTTAATTACCGTGATAAAGTTAAAACCGGATACAGACACAAGATGAATGAATAAATTATTTGCCTAGACAATAATGAACTAATATACACATACCTGAGACTAAATAGATACACCCCTACAAGAACCATCGCTCTTGCATTTAAATAACTAAAATGTTTCAATCTGATGGCAGGTATCAGTTTGAAACGATATTAATAAAATTCAGTCAGTTTATCTAATGACAGGAGTGAAAGATAATTACTAATTAGATAAGATAATTTTATTAAATTGTATTTTAAAAAATCAAATATTACGCGCTTTTTTTGGACGCACAGATTAGGCTTGTTGAAAATATATCGATGTATCGATATATCGATATTTTTTTTTCGATGTATCGATATATCGGTATTTTTTGTTCGATATATGGATATTTTTTGCCGATATATTTTGATTCGATATATCGATACAAAATAACCAATATCGAAATTCGTATCAAAAACGATATTTTTTTAATTATTAGCGACATATCACGATCTAACTAAATTCGTATCTGGAAAAATCGTAACTAGATCTCAGATTAATGATATTCAACATATCTATGATCTGTGCTGTATTTAGTATTGTCTATTATTTGTAAATCTGTTTCGCTGGTGAATTGGTTGTGCTGATTTCCATTATATTCTGTGGAAGTGTGTGACTGTCTAGTCTTGTTTACGAAAGATGACACCTGGCATTTGCATTTTCATCATTCGAAAATAGGGTCTATTTTTAGGGAGATAATTTTCGTTCCATTATTATTCCGCGTGTCATATTTCGTGAGATACTGTACTGTCATGTAGTGTAGCGGCAATTTGGTACTTTGATAATTCTTCCTTTAATTATAATTTGTATTGAGCTATTATTACTATGCTAGGCTGACCTAAATATATTTTTGGAAAAATTGGCCCAATATATCGATATATCGAAGCCGATATTGATATTTTTTAAAATATCGATGTATCGATATATCGATATTTTTTTCAACTTTCGACATCCCTAGCACAGATTAAGTACTACTAATACAGTACAGTCAGTAGTATAAATAATTTCGTCCATTGGGAATTTGGGACAGGCGAAGGTACTATGCCATACTGCCAAGTCTTAGGGTACGGCCACAGTGCACGCAGGTTCAGAATCAGATTCAGACTCAGAAATCAAGCTCGAGAAATCAACAGTGTAGTTTAAGCAGGGTGGCCATAGTGGCAGCAGGCAACCTGCTTATACTGCACTGTTTATTTCTCTCGCTTGTTTTCTGAGTCTGAATCTGCCTGCACTGTGGTCTTACCCTTACAGTTTGTCTATAAAGTCGTGACATGAATGTTTGAGGAACCAGAGAGAGGAACTAACACTAACATTATTCATGTGTCTGGCAACACCAAACTTATGTACATCAGCTGTCATCGAGTTTCAGTTGTGGAACAGTTTTCCTTTTGTATTTTTTATTGTTTGGATTAAATTGTAATAAATTAAGATGAAACTACGCAGAAATGTATAAAAATGAGTAAAGTAAATCGGAGTGGCATGCGGGAAGTGAAATTTAAAGTTTTCCAGCGATGTTTCGAAGACTACCAAGTTGGACGAATTTTGTGGAATTTGGATGATGTTTATGGGCGAACAGCATCTATGACGGGTATGTAATCGTGTAACTATTTGTTTGTAATCTGCCTGAAGTTACAAATTTACTCAATTTACGATTTTGAGACCAAAAAAGGCATTGTTTACATTGCACATTTTTAGGTTATATTGACATTGTAAATAGGTAATATTGTAGTACAACTTTACCTATTTACAATGTCAATCTAACATATATAATAGTCAAAAGAAATGGTTTCTTTTGATACGTTATTATGGTTCAACTCGGTTAGGTTTTCTACCAATTTTGAATTAATTGCTTCATGTCAATAAGTTATTGTTTCTATTCCGTTACATATTTTTTTACTTTTTTTTTTCAGGAAAATCAGAAAGTCGGATAGTCAACGAAGGTTTTAAGAATGATGGAAAGATTGAAACTCTTGGGAAAACAGGCAAGGCCGACCAAAGAAAGAAATGGTCACATAAAGAACCATGGCCAGATGCTTTTAGTGAAGATACCTATCACTAATTTTACTAACTGCACATTTACAAATTGTTTCTCTAAATAAACTTTTTATATATTATAGAATGATTTTTAGTATTATTTTTTTAACAAGTGTGTTAAAAAACGTCGTATAATGAATCTTGTGTGTATTGATGATTACCTAACGGCTCTGTTTTCAATGACACCTCAGCGATAATCACCAACATTACACACTTTTACACTATAATGTCCTATTTCATCTATAATAATTTTATTCTGATTCAATTTAATATGCTTGGCTAAACTTTTTATAAGCGTAGGTACCTACTATATATAAAACAGAAACAAAATACGACTGTATAGTGTGTCTTATTAATTAACTATTTTACTTGAATGAACTGCTAGTATCAAAATCATTTTGGTTCGACTGTATAGGGTTGCTACATGCATACTAGTGGCGCCATCATTTAATGTTACGACTTTATAGACAAACTGTACGTCCGTACTACAGTCAGGCCATTGTTACATTTGACGTCTGTCAGTTTTATCTTCACAGTGAGGTGACCTGCTTAAAAACATTGCTTAAAGTGAATGAATCGATACGGACTTGAAACATATGTGAATTTAAAAAATCATGTGGCGACTCCCTGTCCCATTATTATTTTTTCTTTCGTAAATTTAAGGAGTAAAATAAGACAAGTACATAATTAAACAAAAAAAATTGAGAGGCAATCGAATAAATTCGTATCCATGCTTTAGGGCTAGTTCATCGATTACATAGCGGAGCTTGGACGGCTTAGTTGCTTTTACTAGATATAACAACTCAATAAAGAGTGACTTGCATCCACACCATTACTTACCTTAGAGCATATACCAATGGAGATGGCATGGGTGGGCGAACCCCTCTGCCAAAGTACGTGGCCATATGGCTATATTCGTTATATAAAACTAGTTCACGCACGACCGCTACCATTTTGCATCGTTCCGCAGCGCGAGTCGAAGCTCCCACAACAATGGAAAATTATGTTGTTTTCCCACGCAAAAACTGATCTGCCACTTCAATCCTGCTGAAACATGGTGTTTCTTATCATATACAAGTATTTTAAAGTTTTAATAAGTTAGTATTCTGGTATAAATTCAATTAAAAGAAAAGGCGCGGAATAACCAATTAATGACAAAAATAATAGGTAGAAATTTATAATGATGTGACAAAAAATGAATGAACAATATTTTTAATACTGAAAAACATTTAACCAGATTTAATTAAGTGCATCTACCGATAAAAATAGCAAGTTGATAAAACAAATATACATCGACAGATTTTATAAAAAAAATACAAAAATTCAATCATTCACGATCTATAACTTGTTTTTTTTTTCAAATAATATGCTCAATACATTATCAGCATTAGTCTTTTAATATCCCCACTGAAGGGGCACAGCACAGGCTTCGACAGGAGCTCGAGATAATAAGCTTTTTCATCACCCATCAAATTACCGACCATTGCCAAAGTTGCTTAGCCTTCACGAACACAAGCCGAACGCGCTAACCATCTGGGCTATTGACCTCCGTATGTACGTACTCAATACATATGCCATAAAAACAATAACTTGTAAAAAAAACAAGTCATCGCATAAAAACACAATGTGTCTCACATATTATATTAAATTAGATTGTTGAATGCGTTTGCCAAGTCCATTTATTTATTTAAAACATACAAGATTTTCAATATTGATATGATCAGTATAAGATGTTGTTAGGTGAGCTAATTTTCATAATAACTCAAGACAAATGACACATGATCATATTATTGACTTTTTATACCGCTGAGGAAAACATTATCAGTAAAACAAATAACTTTAATTCACTGAAGTATAATTCGCTATCGCTAAACAAAGAAAAGATAAGCTTGGGTCAGTTACGCAGTGATTTGTAACAATATACTGCGTTTGCTATTATTAAGGGTGTAAAAGCAATTAGAATATAGGCAGGGTATCCGATAAAAAGCAGCAAAATCAATGATTTTTTGCACAGCAATATAATTTACAAAAAAAAAATTGGTGCGTGTACTTATGTAGGCGCGTGAGAAGTTATCCTTCTTTGGCATCGTTTAAAATTAGTTTTTAATTGCATGCAAATAATTAATTACAATAAATTAATAAAAAGTCTGGAAAAGGACACAGTCAATAAAGTTCAGTTTTAATTTGAAAAAATAAATAAATAATCAAAATATTCAATTAAAATCGCTACTGAATATAATTTATTAGAACATTATGTGATTTGCACTTGTATGAAACTCAAACACGTATTCCGAATATACAAACTAGAAACATGTGGATAAATATTATAAATATGAATACCTATAACTGTTACTTTATTACAAAAAATAAAGATGTGGTTTTTGGTTCTACTACACCAATGGTCAAGAGATGGCGCTGTAGTCTCCTGAATCGCGCTTTGGTTCCGTTGTTCCAGATTGATAAATACTTTTTTTTTTTTTATTTCTAAATATACATACTCAATATATTTTTACATGAACAACACATCGAAAAACCACTAAAGTTTGAATGATGCGTCACAGTTCGCCACACATCATAATTCATTATTGTCACATAAAATATTATTTAAAAACAACATTTTAAGTTTATATTTTATATTTTTTTCATTAAGCGAATCTCTAAATTCTAGGTCCATTTTGTTTATGAGACGAGGTAACAAGTACTCTACAGTGCGTCTGCCGTAGATGTTGATTGCCGTTGTCGTGGCTAGTAAGCCGCGAGTGATCGCCCGGGTACCTTTATCGTGAATAATGGGTTTTTTAATAGAAGTATTGAAGAATTCTTCCTTAAGAAGTTGAAATGTGGACTTTTCGCTAACTGGCAGTACGTTACAATATTTAAATAACAACCTTTCGTCTGAGGCTAATTGTTGTTTTACATTGGGCGAGATAACTCTTTTCAATATTCTTACTCGTAGATTATGAATCTTATCCAAGTAGGTCAACTTTTGATAGGCCTTCACAATGCATTCGTTAGCACCCACTAAATAGAGATTCTATTTCTATTTTGTTGGTAGATTTTCTTAATGTGCGGTAAACACAAAAGTAACAGCATCATGCTGTTAATTTTTGTGTTACAGTGATGCGCGCGCATCTTAAAATTTCACTCTCATCATTTTTTCATAACGCGCCTATAGAAGTATAACTTCAAAAAAAACTTTGAATTTTGTGCATAA